GTACGTTGATGACTGCATTCTCGGTGCAAAAACCCGCCACCTGCTGGACGAGATGAAAAAGAAGATGAGTGAAGAATTTGAGATGTCTGACCTGGGCGAGCTTCGCCATTTCCTTGGCATCCAAATTATACGCAATCGAGGAGCACGCACTTTGAGCTTGACACAAGCTCACTATGCAAGGGAGATCTTCGAACGCTTCAATATGCTGGACTGTTCTCCCGTGGCCACACCTCTTGACGTCAATCACAAACTCAGCCGTGACATGGCCCCTGTCACAGAGGAAGAACGAGAGTACATGGCCACGGTGCCTTATCGTCAAGCTGTGGGGAGTCTCGTTTATTTGATGCTGGGGACGCGACCAGATCTCGCCTATGCTGTTGGGATGGTCTCCCAGTTCCTCGAGAACCCCGGACCTACACATTGGCAAGCTGTGAAGCGGATTTTCCACTACGTTCGAGGTACCTTGCATTTGCAGCTTCACTATGGCGCTGCTGTGTCACAGGAACTTCATGGGTACTCGGATGCGGACTGGGCGGGCGACCAGGACTCAAGGCGCTCTCCCTTCTTGCTCCATGGGGCTGCTGTGTCCTGGAGCAGTATGCGCCAGCCGCTGGTGGCTCTGTTCTCGACAGAGGCAGAGTACATTGTCCTAACCGCTGCCAGCAAAGAAGCGATTCGGTTGACCGTTCTGCCGTGACCTGCCCCGGATTCCATGTTCCCGGACAACCAAAGTGCTCTTGCACTGGCCGCCAATCCTCGCTTCCATTCTCGGACGAAACACATCGGGGAACAAGTCCAAAATGGAGGCAATGGTGGCTGATATACTCACGAAGGCTTTGGCTCGAGATTCCTTTGAACGCCATCGCACTGCACTGCGAGTCTGCTCTCCATCTGTTTCGGCTGAGTGGGAGGGGTAGTCCATCCTCTCAGCTGATCGAGCCAGAGTGGGAGTGTCGAGATGTCAGTCTCGATCAGCTGACGTGGCATGTCCACGTGGTCATGAGTCGACTCATCAGTGTTATGTCCATCCGGCTGCCCGAGGTTCCCTAATCGTTCAACTACCTACAAGAGAGCTCTGAAGGTATTTGTGCCAATAACAAGCCAAATTCTGTTGTCTGCCAGTGATATCATAGACAAGGGCTATCGGGTGATCTTCAGTCGCAGCAGCTGTTAGTTACTGGACCAGCAATAGGAGGAGGTTGCCAGTGGCAGTAGATGTGGTGGGCTATATAAGCTAAACGTCACAGTGATCCCAACAAGTGCCACTTTAGTAGCCAAGGAGGCTGTTTCTCTTCAACTATGGCATCAATCAAGGAGCTTGCTCAAGAGTTAACCAGAAGTGGTTCTTTCTCGGCAATCTTTCTCAAGATTTGTTGTACACAGGCGTTAGCACTGGTTCATTTGGATGATTGTGTACCCATGCACCTTCACACAGAAACATATATACAAGGAATGTGGTAGTGAAGCTGATGCGTCATAAATCTGAAGTCATGCAGCTGTTCTAGCTTTTCAAAGCAAAGGTTGAGGTGGCAATAGGTTTATGGCTTCAAGTTCTTCACTACGACAGTGGTGGCAAGTACTTGTCTAATGAATTCTTTTGTTATTATGAACGGGAAGGGATCCAGTGCTAGTTTTGTTTCAGGTACACCCCGCAACAGAATGGAGTTGCAAAGCGTATAAATAGGACCTCATAGGCAGCGCAACCAAAGATGCGCAAGTGAGCAATGCTAGGTTTCTTCCCAATCCACAGCTCGTAAGGTATATAGGCTACTGCTTTGCATCAGAAAGATCGAGGCATGCCAGCATGCAGCGAGCCATCTCCATCACCCATGTTCCTGACGATCTGTGACAGAAATTGGACCCCAAGAGCTCTTGTTGTGTTCTCATTGGCTACAGTGAGCAAATGAAAGCCTATTGGGAATCCCACACCATCAAGCACAACATAGATGGTTTGTTTGATGAGCAAAAGTTGTACAAGCATCTTCTCACTTCACATTCTAGAGGTATCATCTCTTGTGATTCCTCTACTAACTCATCTTGGCTGCTGCTACTTGACGGGGAGCCTCTCTCTATTCCAGAAAACACTCAAGTGAATCAAGCTCCAGGTTTACCATTGCCTCTAGTACCAGATCCTATTCCAGATTCACCAGTGGTACTGAACAATGTCTTCAACGGATCCTCCTCCTTCTCCTCTAGCCTCCACTTTGGTTCCTGAACCTTCTCACTCCTCTCCTTCTCATTCTCACTCAACCAAATCTGGGCACATAAGTTATCTGGCTTTGGAGTCTGCCAGCACCTCAACTTTGAGGAAGAATGCCTGCCAACAGTGTAGCTGATTTCTACTTTGCAGGAGTTGAGCGATGGATGACTCCAGAACCTCTCACAATTCCTGAAGCAATGTATAGTCGGGAGGCTACCCAATGGTGCTGAGCAATGAAAGAAGAGTATTATACCCTTATGAAGAACAATGCTTGGAGTTTGGCAGATTTGCTAGAAGATAGAAGAGTGGTCTCCACCAAATGGATCTTCAAGCAGAAATTTACTCCTCTCTGTAAAATCCAGGCCTTCAACTTGGAAAAAGTTATGTGACAAGGAGAATTTGAAGCAAGTGTTCATATCTTCATAACAGTGAATTTTGTGGTAGCAGGATTTTAAACCTGCAGTATTTGTAATTCATTTTTAATAGTAAACTGAAGTATGAAACTGCTTCTACAACAAAGGTAGAGTTCTAGTTTAGATTAACAAATAGATGCTCTCATTGAGTGTGATAACAAAGCAACCATGGATTCAAGTTGAAAATTTAGATTCTTGGAGCTCTATTCAATGGTGATGATTGATAAAGATGCATTCAAACTTCTTGACATCAACACCAAATATACCTACATTTATAATGTTTCAGTTTGTGTTTTAGGAATCAGCATGGATCGGGTCAACAGTTTCACACTAGAGAGCTATATCTAACCTGCTCCACATGACTTTGACATTCATTAATATGACTTCCTTGTCATGCTTAAATTGTCAACTTTCTAGTAGATTGTTATATTAGTGAAATTTAGTGACTAAAGGTGTAACTCTTGGCCCAAACATTATCCCTCAGATCCTTTGCACCTGGCCTCATTCACCTATCCCAGTTATGTGCCCCGTTGTATCATTTAACTTGAGATGTTTTAAATAAATTCATCCAGATCAGAACCGGCTTACAAGGAAATGCATTGTAGATACCTGAGACACTACAAGGCTCCCAGTGTTAGTAATTAGGAAAAAACAAATAAAAAAATGTAATAAATACTCCTAAAAAAATTGAAACATTTAGTACATGCTAACATATATATATATATATACATTTGCTTCATTATTATGCACATTTAATTTTAAAAAAGTTCTTGTACAATACCCACGTTTTGTGTGATGATAAGGCTTCTGCAAATAGACTATTTATTTGCACTATAGACCCCCGACTATTGACAACAGTGTTGACAAATACAATAAGAAATAGAAAATGAAAGACAATGCATTAACTTGTTTCTTATTTTAAACCACAAAGCAGAATCTTATTATATGTATGCAATCCGTGGACTCTTGCTAACCAATTGCGCGTCCGGTCTGCTTGCTGAGGCGTATAGTATGCACATCTTCATGGCCCCATTTGCCAATCCAGTACTGCAAGCCGTGCTCATTGGTCGATTCATCTGTTGGTCCGCTGAAGATTGGTCTCATGTACAAGGTATCCATTATGACCTCCTCACTGTTGGCCGGGTGGGGTCGAACTCTGACGCACTGAGCTTGCCTCCACAATGAGAGGCTGTACTTTCCAAATGTTTTCCTCTCGCCTGCAGCAAGCATGCGTATGGACATTCCGACATTGATCAAGAGGATCGATATAAGTGGATGAGGCTGACAGAATATACGTACCAGGTAAGATTTCTACAAAACCCCCTTCGGACTGAAGCTTTTGAGTAATGAAGAGCACGGTGCTGGCTGCCCAACCTGTTGCGGTGGATGCAATTGATATACCTGAGATGCTTGCAGCAGCAGCTGTGAAGGCCGCCAAGGCCTCAGTAGAAACAAAGAACACATCGATGACTCCATTAGCAACCAGAGCCGCGCTGAATGGTGCAGCGGCTCCAGCGGTTGCAACGACAGTGGCAACGGCCGCAAATACAGTGACAACAGTGGTGGCAATACCAATGGCTGCAGTATCAGGGCCTACCTTCACAAGGTAAGGGTCGGGAGTGTTGTTGTAGATGGAAATGTAGGAGCCCATTGCAAAATTTTGCACCCCAGCAGGCAGGTAATGCTGGCAATGTTGCTCGAGGAATCCTCATCCTGATACTTAAGGGGCCAAACGAACGTGGAAACTCCAGGAATGAAATGTAACAACAATTAAGCGCGTAACTTGCATCGTGGGCAAGATGTGGATGCGAGCCTCTATGTATAACACAGCAGAATAAAATGCACATGCAATGTATTATTTAGATCAAATTTAAATCCAACAAGTGATGCAGCTCAGCAACTATTTGCAGGCCAAATTACACTCCAGAATTGTGAATCAGTCTTGGTTCATCAATGCACATGCACCGCTATTCAAACAGTATGGCTTTTGTCTTGTAGAAACTATTTGCCGGCCAAGTGAAGCGGCCTGCTTAACTTGAGAGTTTGGTATGAAAAGGCGCCCAAGCTTGTTTGATTATTGATACTGACATTGTACCAGCACAAGGTACAGGAGCCAAAACCTTGCAAATGGTCTATTTGGTGTGTGGTGATTGCATCTTTTAACTTGCATTTGCACAAACCTTATCATCACACACAACGTGGGTATGTATGAGAACTTTTTTAAAATTAAATGTCGATACATGTGCTAAATGTTTCAATTTTTTTAGGAGTATTTATTACATTGTTTTTATTTGTTTTTTCCTGTCACACTCAATACCTAAGACTCTACGAGGCTTCGAATTATGAAAAAACAAATTAAAAAAATGTAATAAATGCTCCTAAAAAAATTGAAACATTTAGTACATGTATCCACATTTAGTTTTACAAAAGGTTCTCATACAATACCCACGTTATGTGTGATGATAAGGCTTGTGCAAATGCAAGTTAAAAGATGCAATCACCACACACTAAATAGACCATTCGTTTGGCCCCTTAAGTATCAGGATGAGGATTCCTCGAGCAACATTGCCAGCATTACCTGCCTGCTGGGGTGCAAAATTTTGCAATGGGCTCCTATATTTCCATCTACAACAACACTCCCGACCCTTACCTTGTGAAAGTAGGCCCTGATACTGCAGCCATTGGTATTGCCACCACTGTTGTCACTGTATTTGCGGCCGTTGCCACTGTCGTTGCAACCGCTGGAGCCGCTGCACCATTCAGCGCGGCTCTGGTTGCTAATGGAGTCATCGATGTGTTCTTTGTTTCTACTGAGGCCTTGGCGGCCTTCACAGCTGCTGCTGCAAGCATCTCAGGTATATCAATTGCATCCACCGCAACAGGTTGGGCAGCCAGCACCGTGCTCTTCATTACTCAAAAGCTTCAGTCCGAAGGGGGTTTTGTAGAAATCTTACCTGGTACGTATATTATGTCAGCCTCATCCACTTATATCGATCCTCTTGATCAATGTCGGAATGTCCATACGCATGCTTGCTGCAGGCGAGAGGAAAACATTTGGAAAGTACAGCCTCTCATTGTGGAGGCAAGCTCAGTGCGTCAGAGTTCGACCCAACCCGGCCAACAGTGAGGAGGTCGTAATGGATACCTTGTACATGAGACCAATCTTCAGCGGACCAACAGATGAATCGACCAATGAGCACGGCTTGCAGTACTGGATTGGCAAATGGGGCCATGAAGATGTGCACACTATACGCCTCAGCAAGCAGACCAGACGCGCAATTGGTTAGCAAGAGTCCACGGATTGCATACATATAATAAGATTCTGCTTTGTGGTTTAAAAATAAAAACAAGTTAATGCATTGTCTTTCATTTTCTATTTCTTATTGTATTTGTCAACACTGTTGTCAATGCAAATGATTACCAAATGAGAAAGTTTCCAAAGAATTTGGAGTTGGAGCTCAGAAACCGAAAGAATGAGGATTGAAATGGCTAACCTGCATCGCAATGGAGGATATCCTCCAGGAGGTCACCTTTGCGCGCAGGGGATGCATGGAGGAAGTCAAGAAGACGTTCGATCGACTGCCTCACTTGGAACGCGCTTCTTGCAGCATATACCCAGAAGAGGCACCTGGATGAGGCTGCGATTGTGTTCCGGAAATGCCGATGCAAGATGCAGTGTCGTGGGGGGACCATGGGTTGACTTAGAATCAGATGACCGAAGGAGCCAGGCGATTGTTAAACTGGATGCCCCAGAGACGGTTACGTGGACAAGCATGCTCGTAGCATATGCCCAAATTTGGCATTTTGAGTAACTCTAAAAGTGCCGACTGAAAAGGTTATTACCACTTGTCCCAGTCGGCAGAAGAGCATTGAAGAGACAAAATAGAAATCAACTTATCATTCCACACTTCTCTTCGGTGCAACATTGCAGCTATTCGAGACACGACCATCAGTAGAGGTTTGAGTACACTGGGTAGGTATCTCCGTTGCTGAACATTCTCTGCCAGCTTGTTCATTGCTATCCGTGCTAGTTGCTCATTCTTCTCAGTGCCCATGCCATATGCCCGTCCCAATATCCCAGATTACCCCTACCCTTGACAAGCGTTCAATGACGAGCTGCATTAGGCGGACACTCTTTGGTTGTATATGCAACCTGCACAAATAACTGATACGTCAGAACAACAAACAAAGTCATATATACACATACCATGGTTCCTGGAACAAGTCTGGTTTGTCGACGAGGACCGTCGTGGTTAGAGCAAGAGGATTTGCTCGGGGGTGTGCAACAAGCAGTAAGACCAAGTGGTGCTCCTGTGCAGCAGAATTGTTAAGGATGGCATTACAAAGTAGAGGTGAGTTTTTGGTTGGGCGAGTTCTCTTTTGCTTTTCTCTCAATTGACAGTGTCAAAATGGTGCACAGGATTCATGGACGAGGCGGGAGCACCTGTTGCAAAACGGCAGGTAACAAAATGGCTGTGGAAAGTGTTACCTTTCTTGTCATGCAAGAGTCCTAAGAGGGAGTTTATGGTGCCACTGATATAGTTCGGAAGTTTACAGGTGGGTAATCTTTTCTTCTATCACGGCTGGCTGTGTAGGGTCGAAAACCGCCAGGTACGCTTGTTTTCTTACACCAACTTAACGTTCTTGAGTGGAATCCTTTTTGTAAGGTTTGATCGATCATTTTCTATAATAATCCTAATTGCTAAGCTCTTGATGTAGGGTAAGATGAGAAGGGCGCTATTGCTCTTGGCGCTCTTCACGGCAGCGGTGGCGGCGTGCAAGCATGGCCTTTCCGTCCACGCGCGGGGCTGCGGGAGCTCCTCCAACGCCACAGTCGAGGTAGAGGACGCAATGATGTCGTTCCTTTGCGCCATCGACGACACGGTCGTGACGGCTCCTCCCACCGACGTTGTGCGCCTCCAAGGCGCGTATCTCATCCTGGTGGAGATGCCCGGAGTGGCGAGCAGCGACGTATCAATCAAGGTGGAAGCAGTAGAGGGCTCTGATCTTCTCTCCATCGCTGGCGTCTCCCACGACCAGGAGCCAGCCCAGTTCTCCGTCCGTGATCGCGGTGCTTTCACCAAGCTGTTTGCTCGCAAGTTCATCCTCCCCGGGCACGCCGACGCGGCCAGGATCAGCCACCGGATTGAGAATGGTCTCTTGCGGGTGACGGTGCCGCTTGTTCCAGGATCCGAGCTAGTACAAGACTTGGTGGAGCTGGAGCCTCGGAGTGATGAGGCTCATTCCACGGCTCGTGGGCTGCGAGCTCCGCCCATGGACCACACCATCGAAAACGCTGATCGACTCGTTCGACCGGAAGCTCTCGTTGCCACCAAAGTTGGTGCTTGCGTTCATGACCCCAGCGTGATCACAGTGTCGCCACTGGTGGACATCTTGGAGCTCCCGGATTCGTACGTGATCGTCGCGGAGATGCCTGGCGCCCAGTCGGCTCAGGTCGAAGTCACTTGCTCGTCCGGGGGAGCAGATGGCGAAGATGGAAAAGATGGCGAAGAAGCAGCAGCAGCTCGGGAGATCCGGGGCATGATGGAGCGCGACTGGTTTTTGAAGCTGATGGGAGAGGCGCAAGGGACTGGTTGCATCGCGTCCATAGCCGGCGTTGCTCGGGACGAGGATGGCGGGCACGCAGTGAGGCTGGAGCGCGGAGGAGCGAGCACCAAAGTGTTTGCTCGCAGGCTTTACTTCCCTCTCAGGTATGTGGAGGACAGGGCGAGCTACAACTTGACTGGCGATGGCTTGCTGAGGGTGGCACTGCCCAAGCGAGTTCCCAGCCTCTGGGAATCGGTGATGGAGTTTTGGCACAAGGATGTTTGTGACTACCTGGTGTCACGATGTAGCTGAGACTGTGCTCTTCTTTCGCTATGTAGAACTTATCGCACTATCCTACGTTGATTCGATTTTCCTGTGAAGTTGTATGCTTTCAAGTGGTCTTGAATCTGTCACAATGAGGGAAAGCCTGCCACAGTGTACATCCTTGTCATAATCTCCAAATTAAAAGATTAGAAACCGGTTGCGACTAACCTCAGTTTCCCGCCAAGCTGCATTGAAATGGTCATTTGGTAACGAAGAGATGTCACTCCAAACAGGACATCAGACTCAGGTTTGGAGCTCGCGGCTTTGGCTTTCTATAACCAACAAACGTCAATCACTGCTCGCAGCAAAGGAAGAGCAACATACCTTCCCATGACCGGAAAAACGATCAACGTGTGAGCGCATGCCTGCTTGCACGATTCATCGTATATCTGCGGCGTCTTGTCACATTCCTGCCAAGGCCAAAGAAACGAAAAAGTGAGATAGAAAACATCTAGAGACCTCGTCATCACTGCCCGCAAAGGAAAAAGAGAAATAAGCAACATACCTTCTCAAACGATCAGTGTCTGTCTCTTGTGAGCGCTTTCTCCTTCCACGATTCATGGTATATCTGCGGCGTCTGTGTCACAATCCTGCAAATGGCCAAACAAACCAGAAGATGAGATAGAAAACATATAGAGCAACAACTTACCTCGTTATCGCTTTCATCTGTGCTAAATACACAAGGCCTTTTCACCCGCGGCTCCCTGAACTCCACCCTTAGCAGGCCCATGTATCGATTCCTTATAGTAACCAGCGGATCCTTTACTCGTGTCACGGACACCCGATCGTTCTCCCGGTAAGCTTCGCGGAGAAACGCCATCTGGCGTGAGTTGCTCTCTGAGACGTAGAAAAACCGCGGGTGGCTCGCAAGCAGAGCGTCTGAGTACTCTGGCAGCCGCAACTCCTGCTTGAATCCTTTGAACTTTGCAAGAGATGCTCTCTTCTCGATCGTGAGGCTGAGTAGCTCGTGAAAGACTGCCAGGAGTCTCTTCTCTCCAGACAGACTGCTGGGATCTGCCGAGTTGCCGGGGTCTTCGTAAGGTGACGGCATTGGAAGTCTTTGGAACTTGTCGAATTCCTCCCAGAAAATCTTGTCCGCCTCGAACTTCTTTGGAAACGTACTCACGAACGCCCAAGGGCCGAGAATTCTTTGCGTTCTTCCTGCCTCCACAGCCCTTTCTCTGTCAGTCACGGCTAGCGACTGATCCCACGAAACGAGCTCCACCATTCTGGATCCCCCGGCTAGCCGGAAATCCTCCGGATACCTCCGGAGAAACCCATCGAAATCGATCGGGAAGGCACACTCCTTGCTCAAGTTCTTGACCGGAGCCACTGGCGCCCTGCGATCCTTGCACATCATCAAGATTTTCTTCACGATGGACACCGAGAGCTTCTCATCCCTGTCACGGATCGCCTGCCTCTCGGCCTCCATGATCTCTTGCATGAAATCCCTGAGCTCGATCCACTCCTGGGTCCTGTGGTGCTTGTACGTGAGCTTAAACACCGCGGCGTGCTTGCGAAGGAGCTTGCTCATCCTCCTCTTGCTCACCTCGTCCATCTCCGCCGGCATTCTCTTGATGTCGATCCTCCCGCCCTGGCTCTGGACGAATTCCATGGCTCTGGGGATCTCCGAGTAGATCAGCTCGTCCCAGCGCACCACACGATCCAGGTAGAGGCTCTTGCGCCATACCTGTAGCGCCATGCGCTTCCACCGCGCGTGGAGCTCTCGCGTCTCGCCGGGGATCCATCGCTGCATCGTCCAAACCCTAGGAGGTAGCGCATGAGCTTGGATCGAAGATTTCTCGCGACGATCACCCGAAATATCAAGAGCCTGGCAGAATGCCGCGCCGCGCACGCCAAGATCATCGAGAATGGCTTCCGCGACGACACCTATCTCACCAATCTCCTGCTCCTCAGCTACGGCAAATGCGGCAGCGTGGAGAATGCCTGGAAGACCTTCCACCGGATGAGATCTCGCAACGTCTTCACCTGGAACAACATGCTCACTGGATGCATCCACGGCGGCGCCATCCAGGACGCCAAGAATCTCTTCTTTCTTGTGCCGGGGACGGACATCGTGCTGTGGAACGCGCTCTTGACGGCATTTGCCCACACTGGGAATCCGGAGGAGGCGAAATCTCTCTTCGATGCCATGCCCCAGAAGGACGATATCACCTGGAATATCATGATCCGAGCCTACGCCCTGGGCGGCCTGCTCCACGAATCCAGAGGCTTTCTCGATCGAATGCCCTTCTGGGGAATCATCTCCTGGACGACGATCTTCAAAGAATACGCGCTGGGAGGGCATCTGGAAGCCGCAAAGGCGATCTTCGACGCAATGCCGGAGAAGGACGACATCGCTTGGACGCTGATGCTCCACGGCTACCTGCGCCACGGCCAGATCGATCAAGGCAAGATCGTCTTCGACTCGATGAAGAACCGCGATCTCCTGTCCTACACTGCCCTTGCATCCGCCTACGCGCAAGGCGGCCGGATCGAAGAGGCGCGATCGATCTTCTCCCGGCAGCCCCAATTCGACATCGTCTCCTGGACCGCCATGACCCAAGCCATAGCCAAGAGCCCTTCCTCCCTCCCGGACGCCAAAGCCCTCTTCGATTCCACGCCGTTGGATCGCTGCGTTGTATCCTGGACGTCCATGCTCCAGAGCTACATTCAAAATTCCCGCCTCGAGGAGGCCAAGGCCGTGTTTGCGCGAATGAGCGGCTGGGATGTGGTGAGCTGGACGGCCATGATCGTCGGATACGCGGAGAATGGCCATTACCATGAGGCCCAGCGAATGTTCTCGTCCAACCCGGAAAGAAGGAACGTTTACTCCTACACTGCGATGCTAACGGCCGCATCTAGAGAAGGGGATCTGGAAGATGCCAAGAGGATATTTGCGACCATGCCTGGGAAGAATCTCGTCACCTGGAATGCCATGTACACAGCATATGCCCAGAACGGGGATATTCCCTTGGCCAAGGACTTGTTTGAGAAGATACCCGAGAGGAATCTCGTGTCGTGGAACATCATGATATTTGTCTATGGTGAGGTTGGAAACGTTGAGAAAGCTAGGCTTTACTTCGATGATACTCCGGAGAGGAATATAATCTCTTGGAATCTTATGATCGCGGCATATGCCCACAAGGGGTATCCGCGAGAGGCCCATGGAATCTTTCACAACATGGTTCTTCATGGCTCTCGCATTGACGAGATGACGTTTTCGAGTGTTTTGGTGGCTTGCAGCCACATCGGGCTTGTTCGCGAGGCCCGGAACTATTTCGTTACTCTGATTCTCGATTTTGAGCTGACACCTCTGGTGGAGCACTACTGCTGCTTGGTTGATGCGCTCGGCCGCGCTGGGAAGCTTCAAACTGCGGAGGATTTGATCGATTCCATGCCATTTTCGCCCAGTGATGTTGCGCTAGCGAGCCTGGTGAGCGCGTCGAGGATTTACAACGATCCCATTCGTGAAGCTCGAGCTGCGATGGCTCTCCTGGACGTGGATTCCAACGATTCTTCGGCTTATCTTTCACTCTCCAGAGTTTTTGCTAGCGATGGCAGCTAAGTTCTTGATATTCTCTTTTTCTTGGGATTCTAGGGAGGAGCTTATCAAGAGGTGCGATGGATGCGGCAACCTTTCCATGGCAGGGATCGCGACACCTTTCTCTCCAATCGCCTCATCGAGATTGTATCGGGATCCCAGAGCGCGCGCGAGATCTTCGTCTCCATCCGAGTTCATCCTCTCCGGGCACGCAGGACTTCCCCGTTCTTGACACGATAAAATTCAAGGAGCTGATTCGCAGATTCGCTCATCGACCTCGCAGGCAAGGCCGTGGCGACGCAGCCGATCTGGTGGCAGCAACGGCTGAGCTTCAAGCTTTTGCGAGCTGGATGTCAATACTTTGGTATGCCGTGTAGGCCTGGTGGGCGAACTAGGATTTATTCTTTTGAAGGGAATTCGAGAGAAGATTGCTCTCAAGAAAACTTGCTGCAAGTGGCAAGTTGCAAACCAGCAGAGAATAATAAATAATTAAGTTCTAAAATATTAGAAGTTGGTTAGTTTTAATAGGTCAAATATGCTATTAAATATGCTTAGAAAATTAAATAATTTTTAAATAATATATAATTTTTTTAAAATGTATTTAATTTATTTTTATCATTTATGGGATAAATAAATTAATAACCTGAGTAAAGTTGTTACTACCTAGAATGGGCAAACTAGCCCAATAAATGTATTTTGAAGATAATGGCTATATACAGATTTTTAAGAAAATTTATGGGTTCACTTAAGTCCATTAAAATAATTATATGTGACATATTTAATTAAATAATTAAATAAATGTTTGATACATTCATGTTCTCAAAAATATTTAATATTTTAGTAATGTTTTAAAGAATGGTTTGCATGCCTGATGGTAATGGCAATAATGACAAAAATATATCAAATCGAAAGTTACATAATGAAATAATGCTCATTGAAATGGTTTATGTTAGCAAAATAAAAGATAAAGTTATGATCTTCTTATATGTACTTTGAAGACAAGTATCTTCATATTCTTTCTAAAAATAAATAAATAATTTAAAATTAAATTGTAATGTGAAATTTATATATCTTTAATAAGTTTGTGAAGAAAAAAAGTGCTGAAGATGAAACTCTAAAATAGATCAAAAGAAGAATCTAAAAAGATATTTAGTCATTTTGTAATCAGAAAAACCTGAAATTTTTTCATATATAATTATTTTTTATTGGACAGCATTCAAAAGTTTGATTAAATTAATAAGTGAGGATTAACCTGTAAAAAGGTGTGTACTACTTTAACAAATGAAATAAAAAGAAGTGTTGCAATTATAAATTTTTTTTTTTTTTTATTGTTAATAGGCTAGCAAAAATTTTAGCAAAATGTGTAAAAGATTGAAATTAAATCTTTTATATTTTATTTAAATATTATAAGTAAAAACATATATAACAATATCATCATTATAAATATAAAGTGTAATCTTTGTTATAAACATATGGCATTTTTAACTTAAAAGTTGTCATAAATATATTATAGTATTTGAGTGAGAGGGATTTAACAATATTGAAAGCCACAATTCAAAAAGTAATATGAGATTAATATTTTTTTGGCATGCATAATTTTACTTTAGAAACAATTTAGGGTAAAATGCTTTATTAATTTTAGTTTTTTATACATTTTTATACTTTCTCTAAATGTAAGAAAAAAATTAAATCTTGAAAGTGGAAGATTTAAATATTTTATTAAGCATAATAAACTTTACAATTATCAAACTTTAGCTAGATGAATCTTCAGAGAAACTTTCAGCTTATGAACATAAATTGAACACTAGTATAATTCCATAAATGCATTGTATATATATATATATTCTAAAATATAGCTATTGAAATAAAATATACATAGTAGAAAAACCTAACATTATTGCTCATCTTCATCTAAAAAAACAAAAAAGTGATTGTGAACATCTAAATTCTTCCCATTGATATTTTCTATTGGGAAACTCTTGGTAGCTAAAGTCAGAAGAAAGAAATGTGGAGCTCTTCTTTGTATGGGCAGAGAAGAGTGTCTGCAGCTCATCAAGAGCTGCCATTGCTACTCGAGGGCAAAAGAAATCGATGTGGCATCGCAGGTGCAATTCTCTGGCAGGGATTGCGACACCTTTCTCTCCAATCGTCTCATCGAGATGTATGGAAAATTCGGGAGCTCACAGCGCGCGCGCGAGATCTTCGACTCCATCCGCCACAAGAACTTCTTCTCTTGGACGCTCCTCCTCTCTGCGTATGGCCGGAACGGCGATCTGGGCCGCGCGGAGGAAGTCTTTCGCGCGATGCCAGAATGGAATTGCTTCTCCTGCACAGAGATGATTGCTGCGTATGCAGCGAGCGGCAATCTCCACCGAGCAGAAATGGTATTCGCTGAAATGCCGCTGCGAGATTTGATCTCCTGGAACACTGTGCTTGTTGCTTATGCCAGAAGCCGGGATCTTGAGAAGGCGAGAAAGATCTTTGATTCTCTTCCAGAACGGAATGTTGTATCGTGGACGTCAATCCTAAACGCATACGCACAGAATGGCAACCTGGATGTAGCGGCCAGGATGTTTGATGAGATTCCAGGGTGGAATCTCGTGTCATGGAATGCCATGCTTGCTGCATATGCCCAGAATGGGCAAATAGCGAAAGCTCACTTGCTGTTCAATTCCATGGCGGAAAGAGATGTGATCTCGTACAACACAATCCTGACCGCATATGGCCAATTCGGCCATCTTTCCGATGCGGAAGATCTCCTGACCATTATGCCTGGCCGGAATATCGTCTCCTACAATGCGATACTGGCAGCGTACATACAAACCCGGAATCTGGAAAAGGCGAGGGTCCTCTTCGTCTATTACATTCCGGAGCGGAATTTGATCTCTTGGAACTCGATATTGTCCGCATATGCCGATCTCGGGCATCTGGAAGAAGCTACTCATTTGTTTGAAGCGATGCCAGAGCGTGATCTGGCGTCTTGGAACTCGATGCTGGCAATGCACATCCGGATCGGCGATGTCGAGCAGGGCAAGCGATTTTTCGATCAGATGCCCCATCACAATCTCATCGCTTGGAATTCGATGCTCTCGCTGTTCGCGCAGCACGGGCATCTCTACCAGGTCCTGTGTCTGTTCTATGCGATGCCTCTGCGAGATGTGGTCTCCTGGACGGTAGTAATCTCCGCCCAAATCCATAGGCGCCAATTCCAGGAAGCGCGATCGATGTTCTTGGCAATGCCGCGGCACGATCTCGCCTCGTGCACGGCCATGGCAGCTGCGTGCGCTGATGCTGGGGATTTGGATCGATTTGAGCAAATCCTGGAAGAAATTCGTGGGCAGCAAGAGCAGCTCGATCTCGTCAGCTGGAACACCATACTGAATGGCTACTCGCAACTAGGTCTTATAGACGAGTGTAAAAGAATCTTTGAGAAGATGCTCGAGCGTGATCTAGTCACCTGGAATGTAATGCTTACAGCATATGCCCGGGCTGGGCATCTTGATGACGCTGGGAGAGTGTTCGCTGACATGGCAGAGCGTGACCAGGTGACGTGGACGGCCCTGCTGGCAGCCTACGTCGCCAACAACATGCTGGATGCCGCGGTGGCGCTGTTTGATAGCATGCCGCAAAGGCACCTGTACACGTGGAATGCGATGCTAGCAGGATATGCCCGGAACGGGCATTTAGATCAAGCCAAGAATCTCTTTGATGCGATGCCTGAGATTGATATTTTTGCGTGGAATACGCTTCTTGGGGGATGGGGAGCGATGGGTGATGTTGCCAGCGCCCAATATTTTTTTGATTCAATGCCAATCAGAGATGGAGTTTCGTGGACAGCGATTCTCTTAGCAAATGCCCGGAATGGGGATTTGTATATTGCTAGCAAACTCTTCGATCGCATGCCCGAGAGAGACGCCATAGCATGGAGCGCGGTGCTTGGAGCACACGCCACAGCCAAAGAATCGCGAGTAGCGCTGGGCGATCTGATTGGAGCGATGGCGGTGGAAGGAATGGATCCAGACGAGAGCTGCTTCACCTCTTGCCTGATCTCGTGCAGCCGGAGGGGTGAATCTAAGCGCGCGAGAGTTTGCTTCTTGTCGATCAGTGGCGATTTCTTCGCGGCGCCCACGATCCAGCACTACTACTGCATTGTGGATTTGCTGCATCGTGGAGGATTGGGCTTTGAGGCTCAAGAACTTCTCACCGCCATTGCCCAAGCTCCAGTTCAAATGGTGTGGGCTAACTTCACCAATCGTGGAGGAGAACTTGATCATATGGATTTCTTCCACTGGGAGCCGTGTCAATTGCCAAAGTTTGAAAATATCAGATAATAGTTTGGTCACAGGCTCGATTCCTCTCAGCTACAGATAAAGTTTTTATAAATAAGAATATTCTTGGAATGTAAAACAGAGTGGAGGAAAAGATAGGGTTTTACTGCTCGCGCAATGGGAGACGAGAGCGCTCCTTTGCTATCGCAATTCCGGGCGCGCGACGACGCTCCAGCAGCAGAGGAGCGCGCGTACGAGAAATCGGAGCTCGTGCGCGTCGGTGATGTCGATCCTGGCGGCCAGGGCGATGGCGAGCAGCCCAATTTCTCGTGGCGCAAGCTGTGGATCTTCATGGGGCCGGGATTCCTGATGAGCATTGCGTACCTGGACCCGGGAAACATCGAGAGCGATCTCCAGGTGGGCGCCCAGGCGGGCTACTACCTCCTCTGGCTCCTCCTCCTCGCCACCGCCATGGGCCTCTTGATCCAGCTCCTGGCCGCGCGCCTCGGCGTCGCCACTGGATCCCATCTCGCCGAGCTCTGCCGGGAAGAGTACCCGTCCAGCACCAAGATCGTACTATGGATCATGACCGAGGTCGCGATCATCGGCGCCGATATCCAGGAAGTGATTGGCAGCGCTATCGCGTTTAAGATCTTGTCCCGGGGATACATCCACCTCTGGGCTGGAGTGCTCATGACTGGGATCTACGGGTAAGAAAGAAGAAAAAAGAAGAGATTTTCCTTCTTTCTTCCTTGTCCTCTTTGCTGGATCGATCTCTCGAGGCTTCACAGATTTTCATGCGCAGCTTCTTGTTCCTCTTCCTCGAGAATTTTGGCGTGCGCAAGCTCGAGGCCCTGTTTGCTGTCCTCATCTTGATCATGGGACTGTCCTTCGCGGGAGTTTTTGCAGAAGCCCAGCCCAGCTCCAATGCCATCATCTCGGGTACGTACTTCTTCGAATTCGCTAGAGTTCTACGTGTTCTTCTCTCGAGTTCTTCGCTAGAGTTGTTCGTCTTCTCACGAGTTCTTCTTTAGAGTTCTTCAAGTTAGTTCTTCAAGTTCTTCGCTAGAGTTCTAGTTCTTCTCTAGAGTTCTTCTAGGTGGCAAGCTTCGCTTCTCATCTCTTTTCCTGGATGGCGATCAGGACTGGTGATCCCCAGAGTCCCAGCAAACGCGATCGACAAGGCCGTCGGGATCGTCGGCTGCGTCATCATGCCCCACAACATCTTCCTCCACTCGGCCCTCGTCCAGTCCCGGGCCATCGACACGAGCAACAAGGTCCACGTCCGCGACGCCCTCCGCTACTACTCCATCGAGTCCACCATCGCCATCGTCCTCTCCTTCCTCATCAACGTCTTCATCATGTCCGTCTTCGCCAAGAGCTTCTACGGCAAGCCCGGCGCTCAACACATCGGCCTCGCCAACGCCGGTGAGTACCTCCAGCATGCCTACGGCGGCTCCAACTTCCCCATCAAGTATATCTGGGCCGCGGGCCTCCTCGCGGCCGGGCAGAGCAGCACCATGACCAGCACCTACACCGGACAGTTCGTCATGGCCGGCTTCCTCAACCTGCGTATCCGGAAGTGGATCCGAGTCATGGTAACTCGCAGCGTGGCCATCGTTCCGACTATCATCGTCGCTCTGGCGTTCGACAGCTCCGATAACGAGCTCGACCAGCTCAACGAGTGGCTCAACGTTCTCCAGTCCATCCAGCTTCCGTTTGCGCTCATCCCGCTGCTAACTTTCGTTGACAACGAGCGGATCATGGGGTCGTTTAGAATCGGTGGCCTCCTCAAGGTTGGATTCTTACGTCTTCTCCTGTTTGACGCATGATGCGTGGTCGTGCAGGCTGCCGCGGGTCTGATTGCGCTACTCGTTGTCGTCATCAACTTTTATCTCTTAGCCGTGTTTCTGCTCCACAGTGCGATCCGATCCATATTGATCCTGCTGCTCGTGGGAATTCTCGTCTGTCTCTACGCTGCTTTTATCGTCTACTTGGTAGCTCTCCCTTTCATGAACAGTCGGAGCTGGGCCGCCTTGTCGTCGTCATTCCACAAGTACGGTTTGATGCCTGCCTCTCTTTTCCTTTTGAGTGTTGTCGAGGTGATCCCTGTCCGGGCTTTGCTGCAGGAATCGGCGTAAGGTTCAAGACAGCAGCCCAGATTCGGAAGCCACTGACGCTTGAAACATATCTTTGACAACGGATGGCCGCCTGGCTCGCCTCTAAAGATCAAAGATCACCTCTGTCAAACGCTATAGCGGCACAGACCTTTTCTTCGCTTGGACGTTATTTATGATAGTGGAGACGCTAGAAACCCCCTCCTCTTTGTCTCTTGTACTTATAAGCACTACAGAAAGCATTGTTAGGCTCGAACACGGAATACGGAAAGTGAAAAAACAAAATTCAGTAGTACCTTTGCTTGCACTGCTGCGACACTTCACTGAGCCCACACTCAAAGCGATAAGAAAGAAGAGAAAGAGAGTCACTTTGTAACACAAAGACTCAGAAAACGAGCTCTTTCGCTTTGCATATGTCTCGGACGTACTGAGCTCTTTCAGCTTCGCTACTTCGTTGGTTTCTTCGGGGAGACATACTGCTTACTAGAAAGAATTAATGCTAAGTTTCACCCGGTGCAAAGCGCTTGCTTGCGGCATACTTCCCTCAGAGCTTATCATAGACCTTGACGTTCCTTCTTGTACTTAGAATAAGCAGATGAAGATTAGAGGAACACATGATTTTTTCATTGGATGTATGTATGCTTCATATAAAAAGAAGAACATGTAGAGATCGGAACCTTGAAAGTCACTGACATAATCCGTCAAAGTCGCAATCACACACAATACTACATAAGTCCCAAGACCCCACATTAGATTATCATGGAAGCGCTTTTTGATCTCGTTGTCCTTCTGGAGCTCCACCCTGATGTTGCGAAGCTCCTGCGAGATGAGAAAAGAAATCAGTCCGGATCCATGCACTCGGTCTCTCTGAATTACCTGCAGTATTTCTGTCTTGTGTTGCGGGTTCTCTTGGGAGAGTGCTTTCGTGCACTTGCTCTCCAAACTTGAGGAAAAGAGGCCAACGCTTCCAACAGCACTGATCGTCGAATCGACCGAAAACATCACTATTTTACCCTAGAACTCATGCCAAAAAAAAGTTGGTATTCGTTTCTTGGGGCCTCATGGCACTTCTTACGTCTTGAGAGATACAGATCTTTTTAAGCAAGAGCCCTAGTGTTTCTAGCTCCTCAAAGAACCTTACAGCAGTCCCATTCCTGTGATTATTCCGGAAATTGTCCTCACAATCATAATTCCTTAGATCCCTCCTAAGTCCTTGACATAAAAACCATCTTCTTCACTTTGATCCTTGTTGTTGGTGGTCCAAAACCTTGGTACACGAGTCCATACTAATTAGTGTAGATCGTACAGCACAACTGGGACATGGTTTCTGGTGCTGATCTTCGGAAAGTTGATCACCGTTTCTGGCTCTGCATCCCATCTGTTCAATACATTATGTTGTTAATGAAATGTTTAACCAGAAAAGATAAATTATACTTGAACTGCGTGACGAAATGGTGAAGAAACACTGCAGTCTGGACTCTAGCAAGCTCTTGGCCCGGACACAATCTCGACCCACCACCAAAAGGAAGCACATAAGTTGATGGAATGTTTTTCTGATAAGTAGGAGAATAAAACGTAATTTGTGAGAAGTCATAATCTTTACCTCTAGCCAGCGCCATGGGTGGAACTTAGTTGGATTTGGAAACATATTTTCATCGAAGTGGATGTTGAGAAAATAAGGAAGCACTGTCCAGCCCTTGGGAATTATGTAACCTTGAATGAATTTCCATGGAGTGTTAGACTAGTGGATTCTTAAATTGTGAATTACCTCTGTATTCCACGTCTTTGAGGGCTTTCCGCATTACTCCTTGAGCTCCATTGGCAAGACGAAGTGTCTCGTTAAAAACCTGAATTCTTTCTCAATACATAATTTAAAGAGAAAAAACTTACAGCTTGGGTGAACTCTAAAGACATGTAGTCATTCCAAGAAAGGCCTTCATTCGAATCTTTTCCCCTCTTGATTGCAAGGTTCTCTTCCTGCATTAGAGATTCTGGAAAGTTAAGGATCTAGAGAATCTTGGAATGGAATTTTCTTACTCTGATGTGCTCGAGTGCTTTGGGAGTTTCTGATAAGTTTTTCACAGCAAAAGCAATGACGATTGCCGGAATACCCTCTGCATTTGCAATGTTGACCAAAACATTGTCGATTATAATCTTCTCCACATCACCATCTTCTTCTTTCACTTCTTCGATCAATGCATTGAGGATGTCTTTGTGCTCTATGTCTGGTCTGGCCCTTCGAGCAGCCACCATATCCATTATAATCTGGGACAGCTTCTCCCTTGCCTGATTTTGAAAGAAGAATTTAAAGTTTTGAAATATAAAAAAATGTAAGAGTACCTTCATTGCTTTGAAGTATGGAGTCCCTGGAATCATCATAGGAACACCAATGATCCCCGCCATGAGGGTGTTAAACTCTTCCAATATGGTTGTGGAAAGCTTGCCAGGCTCCAATCCAAACAATTGCTTCATCAAAAAGTCGTGGGTGATCTGAAATAAAAACGAAAGGATTTGTGATCAAACTTCAGAGAAAATGTTCAGGTAGTAACCCTTTGGATCTCGTCCTGGAGAAGAATCCTTTGGCCTCTGCTCCACGTACTCATGCCTTGCTTAGTGAGGAGTTCCATCTCTCGCGTGAGATACTTCTTGAGGGGCGTGGAGCTCACAAACCTCTTTAGCATGGCGTGCATTCTCTTTTGCAAGTCACCGTGATGGAAGAGCATCGCGCGCTCGCCCAGGACATCCTTGAGCGATTGGGGATAGCCCGTCTCGAAGAGAACACCCTCGTTGTGGAGAACAAACTTGACACCCTCCACATCAGTGATCATGATAGTCTTGCCCGTCAGCAAGCTCGTCTTGAACACTGGTCCATACCTGTAGCATTGCAATCGATCAATTCATTGCGAGAGAGAAGAGTAAATTTCCAAGGTGCTAAGAATCGATGAGCTTACTTGCGCTCTCGTTCTCTTGTGAAGCGAAATGGAGTCTCGGACCGAGCAATTGTCACGTATGGCACCAGCTCGCCAGGAAGAGAGCCCAAGCATTTATTTGGACGCGTTGCGATCTCTGGTACGTGTAACTCTTGTAACCTTCTATTTTGTTGCCCCACAGTTGAAGTGTATCCTTCTCGTCCTCATCTGCCCGTCCAGCGTCAAACCCTCAAATCTTACTGAAATTTGGCTCTCCCAATGTTTGTTGCAAGTCAATTTGATGATCTTCTAGAAACTCTGGTCTCGTCTGATAATCCAACAGTATTGCAGAATTATTCATCACAGGATAAGGTTCATAAAAAATATCTAAGCAATGTTTGGCTAATCTGCAGAAAATGCGGTTGACAAGAATAAAGACTTGGGATGGGTGATAGGAATATAATCTCTTGGAATCTTATGATCGTGGCATATGCCCACAATGGGTATCCGTGAGAGGCCCATGGAATCTTTCACGACATATAATGTGCCTTAATCGATTTAGATAAACATGGGGTGTGATAAACGTGATGAGATGGTAGGGTTTAGGGTTTATCGTTTTCTAGGGTTTAGGGGTTTTTGAAATGGGGGCCCGCGGGATCGCACGCTCGGTGCTTGCTTGACATGGAAAGGGAAAAGAAAAAGGAATCGCGACTGGGATGTTCCTTTGAACGTTCCCCTTTTGATCGAATTCCCGGGCCCGATCTGTTGATTCTCTTCCCACCGTCGCGCACACGCTACAGCCACACTTGATCGTGATTGGCCACTTCCATCACATCACGCCAACGCCATCTCTCGCTCGCATCGCTCGCTCGCCTCGATCTGCCTGGATCGGATTGGATCGGATTCCATTTTTGGTTTAGGGCTCTTGAGTCCATCCACGCGATGGAAGAGGATGTGGAGAAGATGGCGGCCGCGGACGCCTTCGCAGAGGTGCGTCTTGCGCTCGGGATCGCAATGCAGGTTGCTAAAGCTTGTCTAGACAGGATCGGGAGGTGTGTGTGCTGCTAGATCAGGTGTCGGTGCTCGCCCACCTAGCAACATTTGGGATTCTTGGAGTAAGTTTTGGCGATTTCTTCCGTTGCTCCAGAAAATTTGAGAATGCGAGTGGCGCTTCTAGGTGCTCTTGAGGTATGGACTGGAGCAGCTCTTTGGCCCGACCATAGCTCAAGTTACGGATACAAGCAGTGCTTTGTTCATCGATCTTCCAGCCAATATGGTACCCAAAGATCTTCCTTTTCCTCTTTCGAGTGGCTTTTGTTTTTCTTCTTTAGCTCGGATGTTTCTTCATGGGCTGGGTGGGAGTTGTGCTCAAGAAAGAGATAGCACACTTCTCCGAGCACTTAGCGGTGGGACTTTCTACCGGTTTGATGGGAAGCATCACCACGTTTGCGTCGTGGTCGCAAAGCATGATGAGGATCATCACTGCCGGCTGCTGGGTGAGAGGATTGTTGGGCTTTCTCCTGGGTAAGTCGGTCGAGTTCTTCAGCTAACTCCAAAGAATTTCTAGGAATGGAGCTGGCTATGATGTCTCTGCTCATTGGCATTGATTCCGCAAACTTGCTCCTGGCATGCAAACTGGATGATGCCACCACCGAAACCTCAAAGTCGAAGAAGCCGAAGAATCTCTACTGGAGGCACACCACGCAGCTCCTCCTCTTTGTGTTCCTCGGCATTGGCCTCTGGACGATGGCTTTCTTCCTGCTGTTTCGAGAGAACGGCTACAGGAGGAAGAAGCTATGGATAGCTTGTACGCTCGCTCCTCTGGGAGTGTGGCTCCGCTGGTGGCTCTCCAATCTCAATGGCCGGGGCGTCGCTGGAAGGCTCCCCTGGCTTCCAACGGGGACTCTGTGTGCCAACGTCACTGCCTCCTTGGCCGAGTTCGTCCTCAACATCCTGGAGCTCCTCGGGGTGGTAAGTTCTTCCAGAGTTTCTCGATGGTTTCGAGTTTCTAGCTGAGAGCTCTCGTGGATCTGTCTCTCACAGGTATCGAATCACCAGCTGCTGCTAGTGTCTGGAGGGATCCAATTTGGAATGCTGGGGTGCATGAGCACGGTGTCCACGCTCGCAGCGGAGATTTACTGGCTGGAGCGTCGCGCAGTGGGATGGAAGAGGTGTGGCTATGCGTACGCTTGCTTAAGCATTCTCGCGACGCTCTTGGCTGGTCTCATTAGTTTCTCAGCCGTGGCGTGGATCCATGGCGGCGTGCTTCTCCCCAGCTAGGCATAAAATCAATCAACTTTAAGAATATTCTGTCTATAAGTAGCCATATTCTGTTGACCAGTATACTCCGCTAGCTTTGATTCTCCCACTGTTCATGGATATTCTGTTGATGACGTAGGATATTCCTAGGAGGGTTTCGAAAAATAATAAATTCTTCCTCTTCACATTCTTCCGAGGGTTGCGCCAGGGCACCACGACGCTCGCTCAATCGATGGCGCCGGCCACCCAAGAATAACAGCGACTTCCGCGGGATCTGGCATTGGAGTTCCTGGTTCTTGCTGGATCTGAGCAAGGTAATGCGCGTTGTTTCAAAGAATGTAGGCCTTCTCTCAGCTCTCGTTTCTTGCTCTCTTCTCTTGCCAGAGGAGTGGCGATGGAGAACAGTCCCGTCAAGAGAGGGCAAATGCCGCCAGGAGGCGCTACCACTTTCGATCTCTTCAGCTGGTCCGAGGGCCCGGATTTGTCCCAGGATCAAGCTGCCGCTCCAAGATCGCCATCGTATTACGAGAGAAATGCCGCTACCGAGAATGGGAGTCCAGTGGGGCGTCCAACGATTCGCATGCATCAGGTAGAGTTTTTCTCGCTTGGCTTCCATTTATTTCGTGAGATAGATAGATGTTTTTACAATGGAATAGTGAATGGAGTGAAGCTCTTCTCATGTTCTTTTGTCTTTCCTGAGATTCCAGCCTGCTGGAGGAGTGAGCACACTAAAGTTTGGAGACCAGATAACTGCTGAAGAGGCCGAGGCACTCCTCAAGAGGTATGTATGGCCTTTTCTTCTTTGTCCTTCTCTCTTCTTTACAGCGAAGAGAACTGGAAAGCAAGAATCCTCATAGCTAAAAAGTTTTGTCTCGAGAAGGCGACCTGGTTCTGACACCAAGAGGAGAGAAATGTTTGGGAGTGGGATTCTGACTGATGGGACCGACTCTGCCAACGGTGTTCCAGAGCGAACGGGCGTTCGTATGCACCAGGTGAAACTTTTATAGTGCTTTTTTTGTTCTTTCTAGCTTTCGCCCACTTTTGCAGCCGGCTGGCGGTGTAAGCCAAATCAACTTTGCTGTGGAGGAGTGCGCCTCTCCGAAGAAACTAACGGCGATTCACGAAGTTGCCAAGCAGAAAGAGCTGAGTGGCACGTCCGAGACGTATGCAGACATCCAGCAGGGGCGCTCGCGCTCCAGTTTCAAAGCAAAAGAGCTTGTTGGCAGCAACATCTTCGGCCCTCCGCCCGTGCTACCCCCGAGGTCGCTCAACAGGAATTTGGAAGCAAGGGAAGAGCCCAAGGAAGTGAAGCCGGCGGAGGCGGCCCCTCGAAACGTGCGCACGTCTGTCAAAGTCTCGAATGTGAGTGAGTTTGCTCGATCTTTTTCTCGATTGAAAGTTTGTTGTTTCTCAGCCCGCTGGTGGGCGAAGCCAGATCCTGTTTGGCTCGGAGACGTCCGAAGTTGCGGCTAGGAAAGTTCACGACCAGAAAATGGCTGAACTCAGCGGCAACAACATCTTCAAAGGCGACCCTCCCGCGTCCGCCGAGAAGCCCGTCAGCGTTGCCAAGCTCCGAGAGATGAGTGGAAGTGACATCTTTGCCGACGACAAGCCCGCTCCTCGCGACTGCGTTGGTGGCATCAGAAAGCCACCGGGTGGAGAGAGCAGCATTGCTCTCGTCTAGAACTCTAAATCTAAGCCGTTGTCTATGCGTGTAAAGGGACGGTATAGATCGAATCATATTTTTATTTTACTTCTAAATTAGGATTTCTCGAGAATAAGAATTTTAAACGTTGCCTCTTTTACTCACGTTTACTTTTAACACATGTTTCTTACAGGGATGTTTGTTATAATTTCTATTATGTTTATCAAGGTGGCAACATAGATATTCTTCGTGATCCTGCATACGTGATTATATATTTTATGTGATACATGTTTTTCAATTCTCTTTCCTGATATCTTGGTTCCCTATCAATTTGCTCATTGTCTGGTGTACATGCAGGCGCTAAACTTCGCCTTCAAGGACCACTTCAAGAGGCTCTTCAACTTTAAGGCCGACCGGGACGGCTACTGGGTGTGGTTTGCTGGAAACCTGGCGTCGGGAGGCCTTGCCGGTGCCTCCTCGCTCTTCTTTGTCTACTCGCTGGATTACGCCCGGACCCGCCTGGCCAACGACGCCAAGGCTGCAAAGAAGGGTGGTGGCGGTGGCGGTGGCGGTGGCCGCCAGTTCAATGGGCTCCTGGACGTGTACAAGAAGACCCTGGCCAGCGATGGCATTGCCGGCCTTTACCGCGGCTTCAACATTTCGTGCGTGGGTATTGTTGTGTACCGGGGCCTCTATTTTGGAATGTACGACTTTCTCAAGCCGGTGCTGTTGATTGGAGACCTCAAGGTGACCTTTTAGCTAGCTCCAGCAATCAATCGTACTTTCTTCTTTGTGCAACAGGGCAACTTTGCTGCGAGTTTCTTCTTGGGCTGGAGCATCACCATTGCTGCTGGCCTTGCCTGGTACCCGATTGACACGGTGAGGCGGCGTATGATGATGAAGGTTTGGCGAGGGTGCCAAGTACAAGAGCTCAATGCACGCACTGAGGGAAATTATGGCCAAGGAAGGAGTCAAGTCCTTGTTTAAGGGTGCAGGTGAGAGCCGTGGCTGGAGCTGGAGTGTTGTCTGGCTATGACCAATTGCAAATGATCTTCCTGGGAAAGAGTTATGGCTCTGGTGGGGGTGGCTGACAAGCTAACAAGCTGGATGCAGATCTTGTTTTGTTCATGCTACTGCATTTGATGCTTTAAAGATCATAAAAGGTTTTCTAATCCATTGAAAGTATTACTGCTACGGTGAGGTCATTTCAAATAGTCGGGAAACCGGCCGTGATTGATCGAGCTGTGCAAAGTCTGGAATCAGAGGGCTACGAGTTTGTGGGGGAGTTGAAAGATCTCACATACGACGACGTGATCCAGCTAAGGGTGCCTGTCTTTGCTGCTAAGAAGCTTGAGCTGCACCTCAAAGTGCCAGGTATGGCTTCTCTTGCTTCGCGTTTGTTTGTATGGCTATGACTGTTGTGTTCTGTTCCTATGCCCCTCATTTTCTCTTTGATCCATGTCGGCTAAAGAGTTGCTTCTCTTGTTTATAATCAAGGACTTATTATAATTAATTATAGTTTAATATAACCCTAAACCCTAAACCGTCCCTTACGATTCTCCATACAAGAGGGTTTCAAGATAGGGTTTCAGCTAGCAAAATGGACGAGGAATTGGCTAAGGTGGCGGCTCAAATCGGGCTTCTTGAGCCGCAGATCCAAGCGGCTGGGGAATCTTTTCTCTCTGCCCTTCAGAGTGGCAATCAATCTCTGGCGGAATATTGGCGGAATGAAAAAGAGCGGCTGCGGAAGAAGAAAGAACTGCTGCGGAAGGAGGAAGAACAGCTGCGGGAGCAAAAACTCATCCTCCTCAGAAGTAATGGTAAGTCATTCTTTGTGTATTTAGCTATCCCCCTCGATTTGGGGCGTTTTGCTGTTCTGTGCTCTGGGTTGTTTCAGCCTATGGTGTCGTGTGTTTGATGATGGCGTCAGGCTTTTGTTCGTGGCCGTTTGCTTGTTGGGCTCTCGTGCTGTTGGATTGTTGGTATTCTGCGATCTTTTGTAATTGATTAAATGAACCTTATTGCAGTCGA